GTCCAAGATTAACCTTCAGGGTGGATATAGCTCGCTCACACCAAGGACCTAGTGGATGTCAACATTTACCCAGAATGCTTTGCTTGTAAATAAATTGGCTCCGTCCGTGTTAAAATATATTTTTAAAAATGATAAAAACTAAACAGCCTACAGTATTTTTACAGTCTTTATTTTACTGTTAAAATTTATATTTTTCAAATAAAGTCTGTTAAAACTAATCGGGGATCCCTTTAAAGAATTTATGTGTCAGAACAACCTTTCTTGAGATTTTGTGGTGTTAGTTTGAAAGTTTGCTTTTTGTAAAACCTCTAAATATTCTAAATCATAACAGCCAGACTGTTGATTCAAAGGAATGTGAAGTTTTTATTTTTCCTGCATGGTGTCATGTCTCCTCATTGAGTTCAATGATTATAGCTAAATGCTTAAAGTCCAAACAATAAATGCTTTGCTCTGTTTCTCCTGCTGTTGCTCATTTGCACATATTCTATCTTTAGTTGTTTACTTGCACACGTCGGTCTCCGGTGCTGATTGCATCTGTTCCGATGCCTCATCTGTCTTGATAATTTCTTCACAGTCTAAATGCGGCACCATTTAACCTCCATCACTTCCATTCTCACTTCTGCCGCGGCGCTCGTAGCTCCATCCATCCCGACAGGCTGTCAAGGCTGGCGACGCAGGAGACGGGGAAACGTGAGGAATGACGATGTAAAATCATCCGCTGACAGGAACGAGCCAGCTGCTGCAGCGCAGCGTGTTGGTGGCGATGGTTCAGCTGGAGTGTGAGGTGATGATCGAGTTACACTTCCTGACAAACTGAAGCTAATGTTAAAAGCTAATCAAACTCYTTCTGTTTGAGACAGAAGTTTGGTCTTTTCTGTTGTTCTGCAGAAGATTTAGCTTCTAAATGAAAATCAATTATCAAAGTTAGGTCCAATTAACTTCACTGATAAAACCCATTTAAAATCACCAGACTGGACCAAAGAGCTGCAGACAACTAAAAACAACAGCAGGTACTGTGATGATCACTGTAGGTATGCAGGTAGGTAGGTAGGTTGGTTGTAGGGAAAGTGGGTAATTAGGTGGGAAGCAAGGTAAGTAGGTAGGTGGATAGGTATGTAGCTAGGTACGATGGTAGTAAGGTAGGTAGGTAGGTAGGTGGGTGGGTGGGTAGGTGGATGGGTAGGTAGGTAGGTAGGTAGGTAGGTAGGTAGGTAGGTAGGTAGG